GAGAGAGAGAGAGAGAGAGAGAGAGAGAGAGAGAGAGAGAGAGAGAGAGAGAGAGAGAGAGAGAGAGAGAGAGAGAGAAAGTTTACATGAGTAAGCAGAAACAGGCTATAATATCATTATCACGGAAATAGAAATTCTGCCTGCTAGCTGTCACGGGGTAGGCTTTCTCATTCACTTTGGATCTAAGTTTAAATTCGCAACTTGTAAAAACTATTTTACTCTTTTATCATCACCAGGATCAATTCTGTTAAGGACCGAGCATTAATAATAGAACTGAGACCAACGTATCACACTCAAGCTCCAACCTAATACTTCACTTCAACGCTTGTTGTTGAAAAAAAGAGACCCTGACAGAAGAAAAACATTGAAAGGGGCACGGTCTATTGAAGTGGAGCGGGGACATATCAAGCGCACATACGTCGTCGCAGCAGAAGTAGCTGCATCTTCGCACAGTGGAGGCCGAAGGAAAAAAGCGAACAGAAACCCCTTGTAGGCGCTTCCCAAGAATGGCGACCAGTCTAGAAGACATCACAAGCCTGCGTCTTTGGAAAGGCATCGTGGCCGAGTTTGTAGGAACGCTACTCCTCACTCTAATTGGCTGCGGTTCCTGTATTAACCTGAGAGGAGAGGACAATGTGACGTCACCAGTCGTACAGATCGCCCTCTGCTTCGGCCTCAGCGTTGCCACGATTGTGTGGGCTATTGGTCACGTGTCAGGGGGACACATCAACCCGGCGGTCACGTCTGCTATGCTGGCCACCAGAAAAATCAGCATCGCAAAAGCCATTTTCTTCATCTTGTTCCAGGTAAGATAATATTATGTTATAGATTGAGAATATTATTGTACGCCATAACCTCATCGTATGTTTAATAGTAACATTGTAAAGCGCACAGAGCTTTCAGTGGAGCATGGGTATGCCCTATAGAAATGCACTACTACTACTACTACTACCACCATTATTATGATTATCATTATTATGATTATTATCATGATGATAATGATAATGATGGTTTTTTTTTCGTTTCCTTAATGGGCCTGGTGAAATGGCATGAAGAAATCTTCGCGCGAGAGCGAGGCTCTTTTTTGGCTCCTTTGTCAATATACTTAGAGGCACCTCCACTCGTACAAATAACTCCATTGGAATTGCCATTTGATAATGGTGATGATGCTGATGCTGATGCTGATGATGATGATGATGATGATGATGATGATGATGATGATGATGATGATGATGATGATATCTATCTATAATTCTTGAGTGACCAATGCACATGGCTTGTCAAATTTGAGTGGTTTCCGAAAGGACCTCCGTAATCTCAGGTTAGCTTGTAAAATTCTACTTTCATTTCTATTGGCGGTGAGTTTCGAAATGGTGAATACCAATTTTAGTAAAAATTGATCGTTTTAGAAGTGATATATCTACGTTTATAAGTTACTATGGACAAAGCAGTTCTTTGGCTAGTTTCTTATCAATATAATGATATTTGTTGGTGGCATGCACGATAGCTTTTACACCCACTAAACATGCTCTGTGTGCAGTATTACCTTGTTCTAATACAATAAGAACATAATTTTCAATGGGGCAAAATGATAGAAATTTGTCGTTGACTATCACATACTCACAAAAGGTGAACATTCCAAGATGCTCAAAGTCGACAAATTTAACTTTCTGAATGTGTGCAAGTTCAAGACTTTTATCCATTTACAACAAAAGTGCACCTTTGATAAAAAGTGACCCAAAATGTTGTTACAGGCAAAGTCAAGATGACTTGCTTGCTTCACTGCGCTCCTGGATATAACTATTTTCTGCATCCTTTGAAATGCTTTTATTGGCAATATGACTCAACCAGTTTAAAAGAGAACCCTTGCAATATCCCGTTATTAGTTTCTGACGGATATAGAATGTTGGTTGCGAAACGAGTTTGTTACCACCAGAAAGCTCCGAGTCCGGGCCCCCATTTTATGTCGTCGCCTGCGCAGTGTGTCGCCGTCTTGCTAATTCAATAATTGTATGAAAGACGTGCACTCTTATTATTAATAAAAGCAAACACATCGTTGTGACCTTGGGTTATTTTAAAAACTGTTGTGTAGAAAAGGCATGAAGTTAAAACACTCATAAACAGCCTCGTCTTCGTTCTTTCTTTCTTTCGCTCCCCTCTCTTTCATTCTTTCTCTCTCTTTCTTTCTTTCTCTTTTTCTTTCTCTCTCATTTTCTTTCTTTCTTTCTTTCTTTCTTTCTTTTTTTGTCTATAGCTTTCTTTTTACCTTTGTCTGTCTGTCTGTCTGTCTGTCTGTCTGTCTGTCTGTCTGTCTGTCTGTCTGTCCGTACTTTCTCAGTCAAACACCCACCCTCTCCCCCTCCCCCATACTCTCTAAAATGTGCAACCCAACCTCACACCAAAGGTCATAAACAAGCACCTCGTTCAGGGCAACATTCTCAGGTAAAAATCTAAACCGACTGGTGCTCTCAAATCTTTTGTGGGACGTAGAGACCTGGGCATTAACTCTGTCCTTGGACAAGAAGATTAGCAATTGAAATGTGGTGTCGGTGTCGAATAAATTCATTAGATGTGAAGACAGGAAGACAAACGAGACTGTGGGTAAGGGACTGTGTACAGTAATATTACGCTCCTAGAGAACATGACAGTAAATCAAAACACCGTGGCACTCCCTTTGTCTGATTTTAAGAAAAATATTTAAAAGTTGGTCAACCTACATAATAATAGGACTCAGTCGGCGTGGAGCGGAGGCGCGGAGTAAAGATTATCCAACCTTTGCGATGGAAAATTCTTGGTGTACGAGTTGAACCAAATAGCAAGGGAGTTATGTTTCTTATTGAACGACGCTTGGGCCCATACTTACTTACCCCTACCGCTAAGGATGCTTGGTAATATACAAACGGTTCAGTTGGATTTGAGAAAAAGCTTGTAGCCTTGAAATATTTATGTTTTCAATTAATGTACTCATCACTTTATATCGATATTATTTTGGCAAGGAAATCTCTTAAAAAACTCAAACCGCGCTGGAAATTATCAATATCATAGCGTGCCACTTGAAAATGTTAAGTTAAAAAATCAATTTAGATTCTATCTAGAATATTATGTCCAGGCAATCATGCATTTATCTCTTGATTTCCAGGTGTTTAAATGAGTGAGTGGTCGACAGCTGGCCATATAAACATTGAGCACATATTATTGGATCCGATGTTTTGAACTTTTTTGTTGTTACTATGCTCACCATAATGTGTTTGGAATCGTGGTTTGTCCTGGACTAAGAAATACACTCACTTTAGTATTGTCAGCTCTCTCTCACCCTCTCCCTCTCTCTCTTTTCTCTCTGTCTCTCTCTGTCTCTCTCCTCTCTCTCTACCCTACTTTCACTCCTTTCACTCTCCTCCTTCTCTCTCTTTCTCTTTCTTTCTCCCACTCTCTCTGTCTCTGTGTCTGTCTGTCTGTCTGTCTGTCTGTCTGTCTGTCTGTCTGTCTGTCTGTCTGT